AGTTTATAATAATATATTTCCATATTTCATTAGCCTACATCCTGTGAACTGTCTTTCGAAATACCACGGCCAAATACACTAGCCAATGTGTCCATCGCCCTGATCCGGGTGTCCCATTGAAATCTTTATGCGTTATCTGAATTTGGGTGACATGGCAGTCAAAGACTTAATTGGACTTTCAAGTTATTATACACTTAATGCATTTAAGAAAATCCTTATTTTCTCTCAGACAATTTCTCAAAGTTGTACGAACCATAAAATATCCGCCAAAAGTTTAATAAATACGGTAAAAAATTATTACCAGTATTTGAAGCAATAAACTTTTAGAAATCATATTTACAGAGAAGTAAAATTTATAAAATTGTACGACGTGTTTTTAAATAACAGGGAATTTTTAATATATAATTTCTAATATTCTATTTAAATGTTTTATCATTGTTTTTATTTAAGAGCTCATACAATGTTAATAAAATCTCATTATTTAATTGAGAACAAGAATAATTGTATCAAATTTTGCTTATGAAAGACAGTTATAAATTCGCAAGAATGATTTCACAGAAGAAACATTTATAGTTTCTGGTTACTCGTTCTTTTTTTTTTGTATGAACGGTTGCGATGGTTCACGATTCGACCGGGGTCCGGTTCGCCTCCGGTCTCGATCTCGTTGCTGAAACTATCCGGGATCGTTCCTCCTCCGCGTTTCTATCGTCGTCCATGAAACTAGATCACGTTGCGCAAAACGTTAGGCGCGCGGAAAAACGAGCTGAGGCAAGCCAAGTTGTGCTGCGCTGGCGGCACTCATTGTGTTTGCGCCCTTTCATCGCTCCAGGGACGATCAGTCGAGACGAGCCGCGTTAATTGTCGGCTTGCCGATTTACGGTCCTATTTATTTAAATTTTACCCCTAAGGACTGCAAATGCTCTTAGATTTTGCTGTTTGAATTTAGCACTCAGATCTCTAGACTTAATATGCTTTGCTGTAATAGTAATAAACTCCTGTTACGTCGTAAGTGTAGGCAAAGATTTAACAAAAATCATCAATAATCTGCTTTTCGTTCACGACTGAATATGAATATCTTGATGAAAATCTGATATAAATGTTCGCATGTATTTTATTGCCTGCATTTGATATCAGTTCTATCCGATTGTTCGACGCATTGGAATAATTACAGCTGAGTAGATAAATCTGCTGGTAAATCGTTGAGCGGAATTGTATCCGTTAACTCGATTGATAGATGTAAACTCGGTAATCGACGTTAACACGCTATTAACGCGACAGGAACAGCCTTTAAAAGCGCATACAATCGCGCGATTGTTTTCGAGCAGCGTGGAAATATCAATGAATATTACTCATCGATCCTTTGCTGGGTGCCGTAGAAAAATTTTACCCGTTCACAGCTGCGCGCGGCGCGACGTAACGGAAAAAGCAAAAGAATAATTCAAACTATCCTTGACATTTAGCTGCGAGTTACCGAGTT